TCTGAAATGATAGAATGTAGAAGATATTTGTATTTAAAAAGAAGAAGTAGCTTTGTCTTTCTCTGTGCAGTGTTAGTTTAAGATTTATAATCTTATATATATCGAAACCTTTGGCAAAATTTCCACAGGAGTTAAAAGTTTACTATTTAAACAGAACAAAAAAACCCAGTAAATGCAGAGCAGGCGCTGTGTGCTTTTATGAAGGTTCTCTGAGCTTAGTTCCTTTGCTTTCCCCATTTCCAGTCTTTAATAAGCACACCATGTCTATGAGAATGTAGAACAGCGATTTGTGAAAGAAGCTATGTGGACAAATGAACATTCTGCAGTTGTGCCATACCACTGTGTTTTAGTTGAAAGTAAGCAGTTGGCACCTGGAAACCCACACATCAGGCTGAGATTCTATTGTGAAGTCGAACTAGTTCATTTCTTTGGCTCAGGCTAAGTATCCTTTAAACGACTTAACCAGCAACAGCTGTCACACAGAAATGGGTGAAATGGGAAACAGAACCATAGACAAGTTTTCCTTAATTTTATCAGTGACATTTTTCCTGAGGAGTAAGGAAGACTCTTTCAGAGTCTTTTGGACTCATTAAAATTAGCAGGTAGTGTATGACTGATATCAGCATTAGGAGACATAAGTTTCTATGTAGCTCTCATCAACTACTTTAATCAGAAACATTTTGAGAAAATATACTACGGTAATCCATTGGAAGTTTACACTTAACTTGCTCTATTTCATGGTATCTCTTCAGGTTTTTCTCAGCCCATGTGTATGACTTTATCTCCAGTTAAAATGGTCACTTTTACTTGAATCTGTCTTAGGACCTGAGACTACTGAGAGCCCTACTGAGCCTGCGTTTACTGCAGACGTTAGCTGGTGGGCTTGGTTATCCAGGGAGAACAAGGAGTTTACAGCTGGGGAGAAGATGAAATATATTAGATGGGAACAGTCTGCAGATCCCTTGGCTTTAATGTAGCTACTTGGGATGTTTGAAATGTATTTTAAATGGAAAATTCCTTTTAACCCCATTTTTAATTGTCCAAGGAGGACCTGCCTTATATGCTTACTCCTTAATTTTAGTAGAGCAGAATTTTAGCAAAGAGGTACGTTCCAGGGCAGTCTGATTTAGATATGAATGTATCTGACTTGTTCCTGTTTTGCTGAAAGGGTCCAATGCAGGTAATATCAAGAAAGCCACTGTTTGTGCAATATTCCATTAACACTATGTAGGGTAAATAAGATACTTGAAATAATTCCACAACTATTGTACCAGGGGCAGAGGCCTCTTAGGAGTTCTTACTGGCTTTTTCTTTTTGAACTAAGTTACTTTAATGTAGGTACTCTGTGTTAGTTAGAGCTACACTCTAGAAATTCAAGTGATCATGAACTGTAAATACAATTCAGCTCTGTTCAGGAGAAATGCCAGAATAAAACCAAAAGACTGTCACTCCAATAATTAAGATTCAATTTACCTGCCTCTTTTTCTCCAAAGCCTAACTTAAGGTTTGGATATTTTTAAATGACCTTAATCAGTATAATCCTTTAGTGAATGCTAGGTCCTCTTTAAGGATGAAATTGCACAAGCCCAGGCCACCATGACTTGTTAATTCAAGTCTCGGTGTGTTTGATTTTACCCTCTTCCATCCCTGAGGACAGAGAGTTAGGGCAAATAGACTAAGTCACACGGTAACTTAGCTGCAGACCTGCTGAACTTTGACGTGCATGACAGTTCACACGGGTTAATGTTGAATGTAAACTAAAAATTAGAAAAGCTGTAGTCAAGTCTTGGCTGTAATTTATGCAGCTGCTTCTTGTGATTGTTAGAAAAGGGGGCACCGTGTTACTGTAAAATTCTCTTAACCAAAATGTGGTGACTTTTACTCACTAGTCAGTCTACCTCACATTTGTTTATGACGTGTGTCTACCAGTGTGTCATTGTCCTTTCATTTGGTGAATGTATTAAAATTCCCTCCCACTCCTCACCCACTAAAAAAGTTCGTTTTCTTTAAACCAATTTTCCATATGTTAAAAGGTGACATGAGCTGTGACTCTGGCAATGTCTGGTATCGTTCGTACCTTGGATGGCTCTGAGACTCTACTATCTTGGCACAATCCAAGAAAACACTAAGTAAATAGCTGAATGAAATCTATAGCTTACCTAAAGCAGCTACATACGCCAAAACCTCTCCTGGAAAAACTGCAGACTGCTACATAATTATAGATGACAGACCTATGTAGAAGACAACTATATTCACTTTTGTATGCTCAAACAGTTCTGGGTTACTAAAACTTTTATTATTAATTTTGAGTTTATTTCTAAATTCCACCTACTTTTACCAACTCTTAGGAGAAAAAAGGCCTTCCAGCTCTAATATATAAAGAACATTTATAATAACAGAATTTGAAACAAAAGCACTCATCTAGGCCAAAGGCCAACAGAGCAGCAATAACTATTTTCATGTCTGCTGACAGACAGAGGGAAGCAGGCTTCTACTACCTATTCCAAAATAACCAGCCTGGAAAGTCTACCACCACACCAACTGCTAAGCCTTGGAAGCCATAAGATTAAAGGATGTATGCGTGAATTACTACTATGGGAATCCACTCAGCAATCTTAACTCGGTAACCTGAAGCTGTGTTTCCACACAACTGGACAACCAGGCCAGGCAAACAAAAACCACTAAAATATCATAGCAGATCTGAGACTGTGTTCATGCTTTTGGTAAATGCAGAGTTCACACTCACATATTATCAAGTTGATTATCAACATTGCTTGCTCCAATCCTTGCTAAAGAAACCACACAAGTGTGGGCAAAGCCATCAAAACCCGTGGTTCCTACAACATGCTAGATATCTGCAAAAAGGACCAACAACTAACAAGCATTTCCATAATCAGCAATTCTGTAAACTTCTGAAGTCTATGACCGCTGGTACACACTGTGACTGCTGCTCCAACACCCCAGATGCTGCTGCTTTCTCTAGCACCATGGTGGTGACCCTTCTATGGCTTCTAGGGCTGTCTCCCTGGTTTCCATCACTCTCTTCTGGCTCTCTTCCCTCGCTTATGCCATTTCAGATCCTCTCAAATGATGGGTATTCCTTGCACATCTCTAGTTTTCCTTTTACTACCCCAGGATGATCTGATATAAACCTCCAAATAACAGCTTAAGTCCAAACCTCTCTCAAACTCTAGAGCCACATATACAACTAACTATAAGGGTGGTAATCCCACTTGCAAATTCTATAACCACCTTAAACCTTGACCAAAACTGAACCTGCCCTTCCTACCCCATCAAATCCTCCCAACCCATTTTCTCCACTTTTCCTTCTTAGCTTTCAACTGATCTACTGAAAGCTAGACCAAAATTCCTGCTTATCCCAGATTCTTTGCCACAGTTCACCTCTGGCCATTAGCAATGCCTAACAATGCTTTAATTCTCTCTTTAGTGCACACCCATCTCTTCACCTCCATTCCTATATTAGAGTTTAGTTCAGTATTTCAACATTGTGTATAAGCTGCTTGTGTGTAGTCCCTTTTCAACTCCAAAATCTTTTCTTATAAATCCTATTTTGGGCTAGAGAGATGGCTCAGCAGTTAAGAGCACTGGCTGCTCTTCCAGAAGACCAGGCAGATCACAACTGTCTGTAACTCCAATTCCAAAGGATCTGGCACCCTCATACAAAATGCCAATGCACATAAAAATAAATAAATCTTTAAAAACCATAAACCCTAATAAAACAATGAACACTAAATACAGAGTCTGATACACTCAAATGGTAGGTGCTATTTTTTTAGTCTACTATTCTTAGAGAAATACCTAGATTGTAAAACTTGAGGGGCTCGTTTTTTTTTAATTATTATTAACATGAAGATTATCTGTTCCTCCCAGTAATAACAATATTTAAAGCAAATCAATATGTACCCTGCTCTCCCTTTAGGTCTTCATCAGTCATGGCCTGCTAATCCAAGTAATGTGTTAAGGCTCACATGGAAATGGGACCTGTACTAACAAAGTTAACAGTACCAGAGACCTAACACTATTACAAAATTTCACTGTGCTTCCAAAAAGTCAAGCTACTTATCAGGCTAATAAAGAGAATAAAAATGACCAGAAAAGTCTCAACTGCAGGGAAAAATGATAATGTCAAAGTCAGATCAGGGGCTGGAGAGAAGGCTCAGCAGTCCAGAGCACTGGCCATCCTTGTAGCAAACCTGTGTTGAGTTCCTGGCATAAACATGGTGCATACACATAAACTCATGCAGGCATACATACACATAAATACAAGAAAGAAAAGAAATATTAGTGGCCCAGCATTCAGGAGGCTAAAGCGGGGAGATCTCTGAGTTCAGTTCAAGGCCAGACAGGGCTACATAGTGAGACCCTGTCTCCTCCTCATCATCATCGTAATAATGAAGAGGAGGAGGAAATTAAGATGATGATTGGGGCCGGGAGGAGGAAATTTGGGCTGAAGAGAGCTCAGTAGTTAAGAGTTGGCCTCGCAGAGGACCAGAGCTCAGTTTCCTGCACCTAGAGGCAGCTCACAACCATCTTGTGAATCTACTTTGAGAGAATCCAATGCAGGGACCAAGCATGCATATGGTACACAAACACACACACAGGCATTCACATGTTCACCTAAAATAAAATGTGAAACTCTTAGAAAAGAAAAAAAAAAAAAAAAACCACTGGATCACTGCTTTAGAATCTGGATGAATGGTTACACTCCCAATCACTGTGTCATGGAAAGAGTGTAGTCTTATATCAATAATAAAAGAAACTTTTGGGGATGAAATGTACACCTGACTGTTAATCACAATGCAAGCCCCTATATTTTCATAGGTTTTCAATAGAGATATGATCATTTCAGCTCAAAAAGATAACCTAACTGAAACCACAGTGGCACCTCATTCTTGGGCTGTGGTTCTTTATTTCTCTGAAAGTTAATTAAGTACCGTGTTACTAAAATATTCATGAAGGACTGACAAAATGGTAAAAACTGCCTTTAAGAAGCCCGTGTTTTAATCTTATTTCAGTCTCAAACGCAAGAAACTCCCTGAAAGGGTACAAACATTCAACACAACATTGTCTCGGTACATTTATCACTTAGAAAAAGCTATCAAGAATTTTATTATTTTATTCTACATTATATACAGGTCATAAAAGGCCACAGCAGTTTTTTAACATATAAACCCTTTAAAAGTAGAGGGCACTATGAAGGATAGACAAGTATCAAAATGAAGTCCAGTAATGAGGGCGTATACTCAGTGCAGTGTTTCTGAGGAATACCAACGCAGATACCAAGCCACCCACGTTTAGTTTACAACTATTCTGTAGTTCTTTGTGACTCTAGTCATTTATGGCGCCACATGAGAGAGCTTCCCACTGCCTCCATCAGTGACAGAAAAGTAAGCAACAGAGACTGCTGTAAGTTCTTTCACTTGGGGCTCTGTTCTGAGGGGTTTTCTTAGAGTCTGGTTTAGTAGCTTCAGATTCTTAAGCATGTAATACTGTACTGTCCTTGAATAATAACTCCAAAGACATTGGTTTCCACTCTGAAAATACAATCTTTAAACCTATAACTGGTATCAGCAGATCAATATAAAAAATACAGTACCAAGCTACACTGGTATATTTCCATATTAAGAACTTCAAAATATACTTATCACTGAGACCATAGTCCTTGCATTAATTTTCAGTCCACTATGAACAATTATCTGCTGCATGTAAACATGTCTAAATAACTATAGATAAAATACAATCATAAATTTCTGTAAAAGATAATAAAATATCTTCTTTAAAAAAACAAAACAATAATAGCTATTACTGCATTGTTTCCAATTTTATGAAAATGGAACAACCACACGGCTGTTGCCAGTCCTGAGTTCACTGTAATAAAATGGCCCTAGTTCCTGGTTCGAGTCAGCAGCCACTCTTTCTCTTCAGAAGATGTCTTCCGGTACAGCAGGCGAGATCTGGATTAGGTGGTATTCTGTCCATTGATAAAATTATAGACCAGAAACTGACCAGTGCCACAGTACTGTGTTGCAAACAACTTTCCATCAGGAGTGGGATCTGAGAAAGCAATTTCTTCTTTACTCAAATATGAGCCATAAATAAAGTTACTCCTAGTTAAAAGGGGGGAAAAAAGGAAAGGTGGGAGAAAGGGGGGAAGATTGAAAAATTAATCTTTCTGTTCACTGAAACTGAACAACCTATCAAATCCATTTAGACAAGAAAGACTTAAGCAATGCTATGTTATTCTAAAAAACAACATACCTGTTCAACTTAAACATTATAATTTAAAGTACAAAGTATTTTTAGAAAAGCAATAATTATAAAAAAACATTTGCCCAACATCATGTCATAAAGTACTCAACTACTAAGAGTTGAAGAACTTCTCACTCAATCAAGGTATCAAGAAACATGAACTCACAGTGAAAGAATGAACTATTTCTCAGATCAAGAAAATAACATCACTGACAGCTCTAACTAGCATAAACTGGAGAAGAAATAAGCATCCTGATTAGAACAAGAGAAAACTCTTTCTTTGGCAGATGATGTGATCTTGCAAGTAGGAAATTCTGAGGGATTTACCAAAAGATCACTTAAGATTTAGTAAATGATCTCAAAGATTATGACCCAGATTGATATTCAACAAGTATGAACTTTAGCTATATACCTGAAATGGGTAATCCAAATATGAACCTAGAAAACAACCAACCTATAACATCAAGATGAGCACAATGCTTAGGAAAATAATTACCAAAAAACCTGTGAGCTCAAAATATAAAATATTCCTTAAATAAAAATCTAATAAAAAAAGACACCCCATGTTTAAAAATCAGAAAACTTAATATTGGTAAAATGCTATTACTGGGGCGGTGGTGGCACACACCTTTAATCCCAGCACTCTGGAGGCAGAGCCAGGTGGATCTCTACGAGTTCGAGGCCAGCCTGGTCTACAGAGTGAGATCCAGGACAGGCACCAAAACTACACGGAGAGACCCTGTCTTGAAAAAAAAAAAAAAGGGAATTTAAAAGGGTTGGGGATTTAGCTCAGTGGTAGAGTGCTTGCCTAGCAAGCGCAAGGCCCTGGGTTCGGTCCTCAGCTCTGGGGGAGGGGGAGAGGCTGGGGGGGCTATTACTGCACAAATCGACCCACAGCTGGTTTCCTTGGAGGAAATGGTAAGCTGATCTTAAAATTCTCAAGGAAATAAAAAGGATACTAAAGAGTCAAAACATTAAAAGAAGAAGAGGAGGAGGAGAAGGAGGAAGAGGAAGAGGAAAAAAGTTGGAAGGACTCATACATCCTCATTTCCAAATAGACCACACAAAGCTCTAGCATTCCAGATGTGTAATACTGAGATAAGCATAGACACACAGAACATGGAACAACACACAAATCCAGAGAGAAACCTTTACCAGTATGCTGTGATAGGGTCTCACACTGTATAGTTGTGGCTGGCCTGGAGCTCACAGGAGATTCACCTTCCTCTGCCTCCCAAATGCTGGGAACAAAGGCATGTGCCACCATGCCCAGCTTCCCATCTTATTTTTGAGAGATTTTATCTTTCACTGAACCTGGAGCCTAGTCTGGCTAGTCAAGAGCTCCTGGCTCTCTGTGTTTCCAGTGAAGGACTTGGAACCCTCGTATATTGGTTGTTGAGTGGTAAAATGGTGCAGGCATTATAGAAGAGAGTTCAGTAGTTCTTCAAAATATTAAATTCATCAGTACTACAAGATCCCCAATTACACACCTAAGTATACATTCTCAAAATTCTACACATTCACACAAGCACTGGTGTATAGCTGGTCATAGCAATATTATCCACGATGACCACTGAAACACACCAAGAAAGGTGTGAAGAAAGGACAAGTAGTTGTATTCTACTATTTAGCAATCATAAAAAAAGCGATTTATTTTTAATGTTTTAAAAAGTAGGACTGGGAAGAGAGCTCAGTTGGTAATGGACAAGCACAAGGACCTGAGTTCAATGATCAGAACCACACTTTAAAAAGCCTGATGGCACGTTTGCTTGTGATCCTCGCACTACATGGTGGAGACTGGCAGATCCCTGAAGCTCACTGGTTATCCAGTCTCACCTTCTTGGTGAATTCCAGGCCAGTGAGAAATCCTGTCTCAAAAACCAAGATGGACAACAGCAGAGGAATGACACCTTAGATTGTCCTCTGGTCTCCACAAACAGAGAGACATATACATGCACACACACACACACACACACACACACACACACACACACACACACACGCAAAAGCAGCAGTGATACATGCCACCACACTGATGATACTTAGAATTCTATTTACATGAATTGTTCAGTATAGAAAAGTACATTGATACAGAAAGTAGGTTGGTGGCTGCCAGTAGCTAGAGATGTGAGAAAATGAATCACTGCATGAGCTGGGTTTTGGGGTGGGGAGGATAGGGAGTAGAAATGCTTTAAAATTAAATGGGGTGACAGTTATATATGTTTTGAGTATATTAAAACCCACTGAATGGCAAATAGAAAGATTTAGGAACTAATTCTCCAGCCTGCTGGCAGCATTTTCATACTGTGATTTCATACTAAATGAGAAGATCTGTGTCAGGAGGATAGTAAGTGAAGAAGCAGAGGCTTTGCACATTTTAACAAGGAGCTTATTCACTATCACATGACTAACTACAATACTGCTCTTTCAGTTTTTTTGAACAAGAGACACCTATATGGTTTGCTGTAAGACTTAAAGGATGGGAAATAAATCCTCTCACTCCTTTCGGATTATTTGTACTTAATCAGCTTGTTTCCCAAGCTAAGCACTAAAAGAAGTGGAAACAGTTCTCTTGCCATGAGGAGCAGGTGTGAGCTATTGTCCATTAACCACACACAGAGCAAGGAGCTAAGACCCTGAGAGCCTCGAGCTTTCACCTGTAACGGTTATATTTCAAAATCTATTCCCATAGGAAATAGTTGGTAGTCTATAAATTAACAAACAATAAACTGACCTAAAAATAATTTTTTAAAGCACTATGGATTGACCCTGGGACCTGATACTGCTCTACCATCTAGCTATCCACTCTGTCCTCCAAACCTCTTATGGATGGTTAATTTTAAGCTTCATTTTATCCTTTATCTAAGGGACTTTATTGGAAGAAAAAAGTCTGATTCTTTTCTCTGTATTTTTGATAAACAACCACATGATAATAGAAAAACAAATGACACTGAAGAGAATAGAAAAGTAATACATAAAAACTTTTAAACATTTATTATTAGTGTATGCATGTGTGTGTGAATGTTCATGGTATAGCCTGTATGGAGGTCAGACAACTCAGAGGAATTGGTTCTCTCCTTCAGCCTTTCTGTGGTCTGGGGGATTGAACTCAGGTCCTCAGGCATTTTCAGTCAGCACCTTTATCTGTAGAGCCATTATGTTGGCCCAAAAATAATATTCTTAATACAATTTTCTCTAAAAGCTGATTTCCCAAAACACTGTCCACATTTCTCTGGTTTTGTTTAAAAATCTCTAATAGTGAACATAGGTTAAACTATGTCTGTTATATTGGCCTAATGTCACAGTTTTAAATAACTAAAACCAAAGAGGTTTAATAATGTTTTGTCTATTACCAAACATTTTTCCTCTTTAGATTAAACAAAAGACTTACAGACCTAGTATATTTATACAAAATTTATAATACAAATAAAAGTTATACAGTATTATTAAGTACCAATCTTTATACTAAAATTCAAAACTACTGCAAATGACTTGAATTACATCCATTACCTTAGGCATTCAATCATTCGAGAAGCTATTTTCTTCCGCCTCATCATGCTGAACACCCATATTCGACTGATCCCACATATTGCAGGCTCTGGCAACGTTGAGCAGCACCAGGCTTTTTGCCTTTCAAATCGGACTTTTTCTTCTTCTGACCTGATAACTGGAAGTTTCTCTTCTATAACTCGATAGCCCTAGAAATGTCAATAACGGGAAAGGAGATAAAGGTGGCGGTTGGCTAGTGTAAAGCTTGTTTAGGTGTTGACTGCATTTGTCTGGCTGCTTAACAAACTAGCAGACCACTTACGAATCTGGTCTACTGCCATTTGGACTCAACTCGTTATAAGATCATATAATTAAGCATATCTATCATTAATCATTTTAAGAGATTAAACAAGGAAAACAAAACATTTTGCCATCAAAAGTGAACACAACAGGTACGGAAGGTGTTTTTCTCTACTATCCGCATTCTAAGCAGCAAAAGTATATGTTCAACCAAAGCAGTGGTGGCACACGCCTTTAATCCCAGCACTAGGGAGGCAGAGGCAGGCGGATCTCTGTGAGTTCCAGGCCAGCCAGAGTTGTCACATGGTGAGACTTTGTCTCCAAACAAAACAAAAGAACAACAACCAAAAAAATAATCTTTAAAAAGATTTTTTGTGAAAAAAAAAAGTGAGTGTTACATAGCTATCTTATGAACTACGTCTCTAGTCATTTCTGGAATTAGGCAGAATAATAATTTTAAAATGCATGGCTTGCAAAATTGACTCCATATCACTATAGCAAACTTCTATGAACTACTCTCTATATTAAATTTATGATTCAAAACCATCAGCTATTTAAAATCAATTTTGTTACCACAACAAGATTCTAAGAAGTATAATTTCAAATTGAATTTGTAAGACATCTAGCTTAACATATTAAACCCAAACACAGCCTTGTTTTGATACTTTACTAAAAATGACTACAACGGGGGCTGGAGAGATGGCTCAGTGGTTAAGAACATTGGTTGCTCTTCCACATGACAGTTTGCATCTGTCTGTAACATCAGTTTCAGGGGATTTATGCCCTCTTCTGGCCTACATGGACACCAGGCACATACATGATACACAGACACACAGGAAGGAAAACACTCATACACATAATTTTTTAAAATTGTTATGATAAAGTATACATTTATTTGGATGTTATTATGTGGTGAAGACATCAACAGAACAGTACTTAGACACAATGTACAACTAGATTCATGAGCAAGAACTTGGCTGAAATAGACAAGATTCCAGGTCGGGCTCAAATGAAATGGGCTGGTCCAGAAGATTCTGCTCTCTTAGGCTGGTCTTCAGGGACATGTAAAACTCTCTAGTGACATCACTGACTCCTAAACACAAACCCAGTGCTCACTTAGAGCTTAACTAAAAAGAAGGGACCTATTCAGGGGAGACAAACTTTCTGCACAAAGGCACAGACAGTAAGTATTTCAGGCACCTCAGTAACTGCTTTCTCTGCCTTTGAGTTCCAGGCCAGCCTGGTCTACAAAGTGAGTTCCAAGAGCTGTTACACAAAGAAACCCTGTCTTGAAAAACCAAAAGAGAAAGAGAAGGAAAAGGAGAGAGAGAAAGAGAGGGGAGAGAGAGAGAGAACTAAGGAGTGTGGCAGGATTACAATAAAATTGTATTTACAAAAACAGCCAAACATGGTAGCACATGCTACCAATCTCAGCACCAAGGAAGCTCTCACCGAGTCTGAGGCCAGTCTGGTCTACACAGTGAGTTCTAGGCTAGCCAAGACTACATAGTGAGCCCATCTCAAAAGTTTTTTTATAAAAGCAGGCCATGAGCTGGACATACCGGCATACAACTGTCATCCCAGCGCTTATGGGTGGCAGAGAATAACCTCAGCTACTGAGCAACTTCAAGGTAGGACTATGTGAGACCCTACTTTTTTTTTTTTTTTTGGTTTTTCGAGACAGGGTTTCTCTGTGTAGCTTTGCGCCTTTCCTGGATCTTGCTCTGTAGACCAGGCTGGCCTCGAACTCACAAAGATCCGCCTGGCTCTGCCTCCCTAGTGCTGGGATTAAAGGCGTGCGCCACCACCGCCCGGCGAGACCCTACCTTTGTAAGAAAACAACAACAAAGCCAGTCTTTGCCCACTATACCTTGCCTAGCTTCCTTTAACTCAAGTGCTAGGAGGATCAATGAGAGAAAGATTAGTACATAGTACAAAACCTCCAAAACATGCTCTTAATTCTATACCTTTGTCTTACTGAGTTGAAAAACTAATTCCTGCCAAGTATGGTAGTGCACACCTTTAATTCCAGCACTCAGGAGATGGAGAGCAGGTGGATCTCTGGATTCAGGCCAACTAGGGCTACATACTGAGACCCTGGGAGGAAGGGAGGAAGACAGGGAGGAAAGGAAAGAACAAAGGAAGGAAGGACAGATTAATTCCCACCTGAGGATGGTGGTGTACAACTATAATCGAAGCATTCAGGAGGATTCCAAGTTTGAGGACAGCCTGAGCTAAACAATGAATTCCAGGCCAAGCTGTATTACATAGAGAGACTATGTTTCTCAAAAGAAGAAAAGTTACTACTTTATTATAGTGCAGAATTACATATAATTCTTGAATTTATACCCTTACCTAAATTGTAGATAGATTTATTAGGGTATTATTTAAGATCACATAGTAATAAGCTAATTTAGATATCAAACTATAAGTAATTTAGAAGTCACTTACCCACTGGATATGTTCTGCAATTAGGCAGCCAACTACTTTCTTGTCATTAGAAATAAAGAGAAGTGTTTTAGTTCTGGAATAGCACATTAATGGAGCCTGTTGGAAACCCAAATCATTGTCAACCATCTCTCTAATTTCATCAACCTGCCAAGTAAAGAACAATACCATCTTTTAAACAAAGAAAACACTGTATATAGGTAAAATATTCAATAAGCTGAATATATTATTCCTAACATGTACTCTCTAAGGAGTTTTTGGGTTTTGAGACAGTCTTGCTATTTTGCTATGTACCTCTGGCTGGCCTGGTGTTCAATATGTAGCCCAGGCTGGCCTTGAACTAGTAGCCATTCTTCTCCCTCAGCTTCCTGAATACTGAAATCACAGGTGTGTACCACCATGGCTGGCCTGAATTCTTTTAGATGTCTGTACTGATGGTTAACTCTTTTTTAAGCACTAGAAGCAAATTGGCAAGAAAGGGGAAGAAATAGAGGGTGTTGCCAAACCCAGGAGTCTAGGAAACAAGAAGGGTGAGTGAGTGCCAGCAATTATCTAAAAAATTATCTAAATCTAGCAATTATCTAAAAAGTGAGACAAACCAAGAACTGTACTCATTTCAATCCAATATCTCTTGGAGTATTATATTTCTTCATTTTGTATGTAGAAAAAAAACAAACTCAAGTGACGCTATTTTCTTATGTCAAACATTAAACATCTAGAAAATCACAGAGCAGAGGTCTGACCCCTCAACATTAACATGGCATCAAAACACTTCTTCCAAGCTCAAGCTCTTGTTAGACATTGAAAAATCACAACTCTACAGAGACCTGCACACTAATTCTCTCTCCAGTTAAAAGACTATAAATTGCCAGGGTAGTGGCATATCCCTTTAATCCTAGTACTTGCAAGGCAGAGGCAGGCAAATTTCTGCTAGTCTGAGGCCAGTCTGATCTAATTTAAATAGAAGTTCCAGGCCAGCCAGGCTGCACAGTGAGGCCCTGCCTTGGGGACGAGGGACAGGGGAATACACACACAAGTTGCAAATGTCCCATCTAATGATCATTCAGGTAACTAAACCTAAAATGCAAATGACCTCTTGAGTGGTTCCATACTCTTGCTTCTCTTGTACACACCATGTAGTGCCTCCCTTAATCAATGATGAAAACTCACCCCCTCAGCCAGGCGGCAGTGGCACACACCTTTAATCCCAGCACCCAGGAGGCAGAGCCAGGCAGATCTCTGTGAGTTCGAGGCCAGCCTGGTCTACAGAGTGAGATCCAGGACAGGCACCAAAACTACACAGAGAAACTATGTCTCGAAAAAACAAAAAAAAAAAAAAATGAAAAGAAAGAAGAAAACTCACCCCCTCATAATTTCTGATTTTTGTTTGGTTGGTTGGTTGGTTTTTTCTTTGAGACAGGGTTTCTCTGTGTAGCTTTGCGCCTTTCCTGGAACTCACTCTGTAGCCCAGGCTGGCCTCAAACTCAGAGAGATCCACCTGCCTCTGCCTCCCTAGTGCTGGGATTAAAGGTGTGCGCCATCACCGCCCGGCTAATTTCTGGTATTTTATAAGAACATCCATAATCAGTTCCTAGAGGTAGGTTGTTCACAATTCCTTCTATTTTAATTTTAAGGCTATTATGGGTTACTAACTAGTAATATAATTGATTGTAGGCTTTCCCTGAAAAGCTAAACTGAAGAAACTAGCAGTCATTAAGACAATTCTTAGTAAGCAGTCTGGCTGTCATATAAGCAAAATTCCTACTATATATTTCTGAATGACAGTTGGAAATGTTCCACATTTGAACAATGTTTTAAATACAAGACAAACTGAGTACCATTAAGGGTTAATCTGGTGTCTGCAGCTGTCTTACTGGATAAGTGATCTAAAGACATAAAGAGCAACAGAATAAACTTCTTATATCAAGTAAGACATTAGCTACATTTTCAAATAATAGGTGTTTTCTTAGCCTCCTTATCAGGTGATATAGTCCTAAATTTAAAAATGTCCAATTGTAAACCTAAGGAAAATACAGCAAGTAAATTAATTCCCTTATAGCTCTAGTTATTTTAGACACACACTAGAGTGTAACCATTTTTTAGATAAATAACTAAACTCATACCCACATGAAGTACTTTTTGTGAAAAAAAAAGTAATCTAGAAGACAAGAAACACATACTAAGTCTATTATTTATAAATGTAATTAATTTTTTTCTTTTTTAATTAAAGGTGACTGAAATCAGAGATTCACACATAAATTTATGCCATGGTCCCTTTCAAAATACTCTGTATGACAAAACAGTGCCATGCTTAATTATTTAACTCATTTCTCATTAAAGTAAACTCAAGGATTACTTAAGGCACAATTATGCCTTTCACGTAATCACTCACTGGAGTGGTATTCAATCTACTTCACGTATTTTTATGTAATAAGATTTAGAATAATTTCTCAAATGAGCTATGTTTATTTTTCAAGACAGGGTTTCTCTGTGTAGCTTTGGAGCCTATCCTGGAACTCACTCTGTAGACCAGGCTATCCTTGAACTCACAAAATCTGCCTGTCTCTGCCTCCCAAGTGCTGGGATTAAAGGCGTGCGCCACCACCACCCAGCTGGGTTATGTTCTTTAAATTCATATTTCTTGTTTTCAGAATTGGTGTTTAATGTGCAAAGCCTGCACTGTATTCTCCTCTTAACCTTAAGTTTTCTGTATGAAATGTCACTGAAAATTTACCTTTTTCAGGGCGTACTTTGGGTCTTCGGGAAGGACCATTATTATCTTACCATCAGGATATTCAGCCAGAATTCTTTCTTTTTTCCAGCCCTAGATATAAAAGAATGGATTTTATGTATCATACTTTATTTGTTCATGTACAAGACAAAAAGTACATCCACTTGTCTAAAAGTTGCAAACATAAAAAAATACAGGTTCATTAATGCTTGACTAATAAGATGTGATCAATCATCTGCTGTTAAATTTACAAGATTGAATGCAAGCAAATTTCTAGGGCTTGTTCAGAGAGAAGTCATACCACAAAGTTCTAATTTATCATTTCCCATCTTAACAAATTTTGAAAATCACACACCAAAAACAATCAAGCCCCTTAAAGTCAGTGGGTCCCAGAAGAGAAAGGGTAACTCTCCCAGACTCTGGACAAAAGAACTCAACTCTTAGATTTCTCTGGAACATGGTTACCTCCACAATAAACACTCATATTTATGTCTAGCATGCCAAAGACCTCCAGGAGGTTCCAGATGAACTGATTTGCATGCAGTATCCCAGAAGGAAAGAACAGCTTTTACTCTTATTGTTCACAACTATCAAAGCCACAAGAAGGAGACTATAAAAAATATAACTACCTTCTAAGAATCTAATAGGGAAGGAGAGGCTACGTTGTGTGTATCTGAAGTTAGACATACTCAAAAAAAGAGAGGAAATAAACTCTTCTTCAGATCCACACTCGTGGTGGTTAATGAGCAGAACCTGCATGAAAAAAAACAAAACAAAACAAAAGCCACTTAAATCTATAAGATGGGACTGAACCAGGTTAAAACTAGGAACTCTGAAGTTCAAAATTACAGAAGGAATGAGCTTTAACTAGTTGTTCCATTTGTCTTACCCAACCAATTTTATGTAAAAAGGTCTTTTTAAAAGCAATTTGTCATTATACTTAGGGAAAATTTCTTTTCTAGGATCGCTTCTAAAAATATAAAAGCTCAATAAAGAAAAAAAACAGCTAATTTTTTGATATACTATGGTAAGTCTGACAGGATGGAAACTGGCTTTCTAAGTCATCTTTTTGTTTTGTTTTTGTTTTTTTAATGAAATGGGAGCAGGATCTTAGTTGGAGACAAAACTTTCTAGTAATAAAGACCAACATACATAAGATCATAGAACAAAAATATTTAAAATTCAAAATCTGCTTAAAAAATAAGTATTCAAGGACAAGTAAAATTCAAGTGACTGAAATGAACTAGGGATGGGAAAATCATCTCAAAATTAAGAAATCGGGCTAGAGAAATGGCTCCGCAGTTAGAAGCACTTGTTGTTCTTGCAGAGGACACAGACTTGATTCCCAGCACCTATAATGGCTCACAACCATCTGTAACCAGTTCAAGGAGAGCTAACAGGCAGGTACATGGTACACATCCATCCATCATCCATCCATCCATCATCCATCCATCATCCATCCATCCATCCATCCATCCATCCATCCATCACCCATCCATCTTCCATCCATCCAGGCAAAACATTCATACATATAAAGTAAAATGAATAAATTTGATTTTTTAAAGATTAAGAAATCAGAATAAAAAGCCCAATCAGAATCACATACATATTTGAATATAAGGTGAACAATTTTTAAAGACATAAAATATTGAACACCTCTTTTAAAAAAAAGAAATTTACATTAACATTACTTTTTAGAAAACCTTTGAAACCAATCCATTTCTACAAAGTGAAAAGGGAAGTTACTGGGTTTTTTTTCTGTTTTGTTTTTTCTGTCTGTTTTTTTTGTTTCTGTTTTTGTTTTTGTTTTTAAATCAAACCACAGAGTGTGAGAAGAGGAAATAAAACTATAAATAAAGAACTACAGATTTAAATAATTTCAAACTATACAAAGTTATAACTGACCGGGCTGTGGTGGTGCACATGCCTTTAATCCCAGCATTCGGGAGGCAGAGGCAGGTGAATCTCTTGAGTTCAAGGCCAGCCTGGTCTACAGAGCAAGATCCAGGACAGGCACAAAAACTACATGGAGAAACCCTGTCTCAAAAAAAATAAATAAATAAAAATAAAAATAAAAAAATAAAAAATCTTGTACAATTATATCTCACACCACACATTATTTCATTTTAATAACATTTCAGTATAAAATTTTCTCATGAAATAACTTGAAATGTACATGTTTGTATGAAAACCATTACAATTAGGTAATTTTTATTTTAAATATTATTGTTTTGTCATGTACCACAATAAGCTTTTACATACAAGAAGGCACTGTGAAAGACAAAATTACTGCTCTTTAGATTTCACTGATCTCCATGAGGGCATAACTCAGTAGAAACTTTCTAAAAGTTCTGTAGTGAAACCTGTAGGTTCTTTTTTTAAAAAGATTTGTTTTTATTTTATGTGTGTAAGTGTATTGCTCATACTTGGTGAGTCTGGTACCCTCAGAGGTCAGAAGAGGGTGTTACATTCTCTGAACTGTAATTATAGATGGCTGTGAGCCGCCATGTGAATTGTGACTAGTGCTCTTAACCATTAAGCGATATGTCCAGTCTAAGTTTGGGTTCTTGAGAACTAACAGATATAGTAATTTGTTAGCTTTGAGCAAAGCACTACAAAACTCTGGAACTGTCTCCTAATCTAAACAATCTAGAAAATGGCTGTCACCAAGACTATATTAAAGATAAATGATAACACACAGCAGCCACTCAGTAACTCAGGAACTTCCATTCTCTCTTCATACTGATGTCCAAATAAAACCAATGTCAATGAAATGTCCCCAAAGTACAACAATAAATACAATCATGGACAAAGATAAAATAACCACGTTAACTAAAGTACTCAAAACATTTATGTGACTCAATTACAGTTAATACTTCGCCAGTATCATTGACAATTTGTAAGAGTTGAATTTTGTCTATGGTTGAAAAGAAAACAGGCGAACAATGCGCAATTTAGAGAAGTCTACCCAACAGCCACAACAGTTTGAAGATGTATCAATTCTAGCGTAGTGTATTTACACTTCTTACTTTTAGCCTAAGCATATTACATATATACATATATACCTTCTGCTACCAAGAAGTATTTTGCAAAACCTAAATTTTCTTAATCTAGCCATATAGATGATATAAAACATTTTATATTTCCTTTTCTTTATGTTTTGAGACAGTGTTTTGATATGTAGAGCACACTGGTCTCAAACTCAGAGATCTGTCTGTCTCTCGCTCCCAACCTAGCATCAAAGGCACACACTAACACACACCAGTCACATTTCATATTTTTCTTTTTTTCTGTCTTTTTTTTTTTTTTGGAGACAAGGTTTCTCTGTGTAGCCCTTGCTGTCCTGGAACTTACTCTGCAGACCAGGCTGGCCTCAAACTCACAGAGAATCACCTGCCTCTGCCTCCTGAGTGCTGGGATTAAAGGTGTGTACCACCACCACCACCACCTGGTTTAGTTTGGATTTCTAATAACAACTAATGATTAATTTTTCCTTATTCTAATTGCTTAAATGTCTAAAGAGCAGACATTAGTTCCCCCTTTTTTAAAAATCTGATTAAAAAAAAACACTGGGTGATAGACATGTCAATAACAACTATAAAAGTTCACTGATGCCAGGCATAGCGGAACATACTTTAATCCCAGCACTTGGGAGGCAGAGGCAGGAGGATCTCTGTGAGTTTGAGGCCAGCCTGGTCTACAGAGTGAGATCCAGGACAGTCAGTCCTGGAGAAACCTTGTCTCAATAAATGAATAATTCATCCAAATACATGATATGTATAATTAATTATATGTATAAACTGTACCTCAATTAAAAAGTTTATATCAAACACTTTCCTAAGAGATTGAACAAGAACACATATTGGAAAAAACACCTGGGAAATAGAAGTAACAAACAGCTCAAATAAAAATCATCAACAAATATTGCAATAGAGAAGAAAAGAGAAAGGAAAACTTTCAGATTAAAAGACACTGAAATGCATATCCATCATCAATGCACTATATGAGTCTTAAATAGATGTTTATGAAGCTCTGAATCATGAAAGAATGCTCCATGTTAAAGGACTGCTTTTTAAAGGTTTGGTTATATTCATTAAACCATTTTTGTTTAAAAAGGATAATCTTTGACACTGGAAATATCTACTACAGTATTTAATCTGATGCCAGAGTTGATCACAAACTAATGGAGACTGTTAATCAAAGAAGACTGTCCACATTCATAATTGCTGAAAGTGGGTGAGTGATAGATGGAGTTCATTACTCTCTGTGGAGTGGAGAAGTGCAGGTAGGAGAGCAGGACGGACAGAAACAGACAGAAAACGAAGATACAAAAACAATAGGAGTGATTAAATTTATTAAACTTATCCTGGAAAATACAAATCAACTTTAGCCAGGCATGGCGCCATCACACCTTCTGGAAGTTTACATCACATACCAAGACCCTCTCTCACTCAGGAGGCAGAGGGAGGAAGACTGCTACAAGTGCCCCGCCAGCCTGGCCACACAGAGACTGCCTTGACGGGTAGGTACAGTGCGGCCGTAAGCATGAGGCGCTCAGAAGTCAGGCATGGTGGTATGCACCTGTAATCCTAACACCAGAGATAGGAGGATCCCTGGAATCTGCCAGGAAGCTAGTCAAGCCAAGCAATCAATGAGCTGCAGGTACAGTGAGAGATTTAAAAAAAAAAGGGGGGGGGGGTGGAATGCTATCAGGGTTCAAGAAGCCTGACACATTAACCTTTAGGCTCCACAAGCACATGCACACATGTGCTTGTAAGCACGTACATGTACACACAGACACACACACACACACACACACACACACACACACAAATATCCAAGGATTTACTCAAATATCACTTATTTAGGAAAGAAAGTAGGGGCTGGAGAGATGGCTCAGCAGCTAAGAGCTCTTGCAGAGGACTCAGGTTCAATTCCCAGAACCTGAATGTTGCTTCATAGATAGGTGTAACTCCAGTTCCTGAAGAGCCAATGTATATGGTACACAACACATACAAAAACAACACTCATACACATAAAATAAAAACAAATAAATAACTTTAAAGCAAACACAAAACTGATCTAGTTAGGAT